ACCTGCTTTCCTACTTTGTGATGCAATCGACTAGCTAGCAGCTCAACCGCTCGGCAACTCGGCAGGGCCGAGCAATATATTATTATTATTATTATTATCATTATTAATTAGTAACAATAAAAATGAGTGCAGCAGTACTGACATGAATATCATTCTTAATACTAGCAAAAATTTAAGGTTCTACGTTTACTTATCTGCAACTTTTTCACTCATGGCATACGGCTTATCACTTGCTCTTATCCTATTGTTATATTTTCTAAAATGGCTTTTCCATCTGAAATTTATGATTGTATTAAATTTTTACCTGATCAACAACGTGGAATTACTTTTCAGGAAGCTAATGAAGAGGAAAGCAAAGGTACTCACAAGATAATTACAATCATTTTTGAATAAATTATTATTTTTGGAGCTAAAAGTAATTAATTAGAAGCTATCTTCATTAATAAAATTATAAAAAGTAAATACAAAAAAACTGAGAGAAATTTTAATTTCATGCAATTAAAATTTTAATTAAAAAAAAAGAGTTTGAATTTAATTTTTCTTTCCACTTACTCCGTTTATTTATTATTATTATTATTATTATTATTATTATTATTATTATTATTATTTATTATTATTATTATTATTATTATTATTATTATTAATTATTATTATTATTGTCATTATTATATACTATTATTGCTTTTACTATTTAGTCGTAACTGTTTATGTGCTTCAGATAGAAGACAAAGTAAATCATTGTTTTTGCATGCTTTCATATTAGCAAGTGTTGGCATTATCACTGATATCGTTTATACAGTATTATCAGATATAAGACGAATTGGCAATTCTGGAATTTCATTAATTTATACAGTTTGCTTGCTAATTATTTATCACCATTACCGTAAAGAACGAAGAACACTGTACCTGGCAAGTACTACTTTCACTTAATAATTAATTTTTTTATTAATTGCTAATTTTATGCAGAAATAATAACTTTTATTAATTATTTATGGCTGTTTTCTATTGGAAGTAATAATTTCAAATGGAAACATATAATATTTTAGAAAATTTTGGCTATTTTGTCAATAAATATATTAACTTCTTCTTCTTACTCAATGTATGCTTTCGCTGAAAGTATGCTATCGGGACAGTTGTATGAAGTGGTCAATAGAAGTAATGTTGCATTTATTATGAATGGTATCCGTTTAAGTTTTTATTTTTACTTCCAATCAATCGCTTTTGACCTAAAAAATCAGACTGTAGTTGACTTATATGAAAGTAAGCTAGACAACAATAGTAATAATAATAACAATAATAATAATAATAATAATAACAAGTAATGGACAGATAAATAAATAGTAGTTGACTTCACAGCATTTTATTTTCTAATTTTATTTTATATAAAACTAAGTCGAGAAGCTGACTGTGATCTACTTTCTAGTGCTATTCCAAATTGTTATTTAATATTTTTATTATTTATTATTACCATTAATTATTATTATTATTATTATTATTATTATTATTAATTATTAATATTGTTGTTATTGTGTTCTATTCAATTTAGTACATGCTCTCAATTTTAATTAATTAATTTCTTGTTTTCAGCTATTTACTTTTCTCTTTCGCTTTCCTTCACAATGTTTTCCGTAAGATCAATTGAATTCTGTTTTCATACGATAACAAAACATACAGTTCAATGCGATCAGTCTGCAACTGTCGTTCGATTGCTTAAATGTTTTGGTTATTTAGCCTATGCTATTATCGTAATTGTTTGTATCGAAATCATTGCTACAATATTTGTAAGTTTCAGAAAATTAAAAATTTTGAAAATTTCTGATAATTTTATTTGCTACATTTGCAGTTGTATTAAATGAGCAATCATAGGTTTAATTTTGCTTAAGACTTTAGCAAAATTTTCACGTTAATTTACGTTAGAAAAATTGAAAGATCAAAATTGTGATTTTAACAAAAAGTGTATTATGCAAATGGAATTATGCAATAGTTAATATTATGCAAATGGAATTATGCAATACAGTCAAAAATAGTTAATTTGACGTAAAAGAAAATAATTCTGAAATTTTTACAAATTACTTTGACTGAAAAATGAAATGTTTATATCTT